TACGGATCAGTTCACCTTACGACAGTACAATGACTATCATTCATTTTCTCCTCCAGGAGATAAAGCAATGGGAGGCTCTACTATCTTTGTGCGACAGGGGATAATACATAGTCCTGTCCCTCTTAATACCAATCTTCAAACTGTTGCTGTTCGTCTGACTCTGCACATTGCTTTTACGCTGTGCTCTTTGTATATACCTCCTTCTTCTGATCTTCGACAGTCTGATCTTCAAAGTCTGTATGACCAGCTCCCAAAGCCCTGCATCATCATGGGTGATCTTAACGGACACAACCCGCTTTGGGGAAGTGCAAATACAAGTTCTAAAGGAAAAATTGAGGAATTTATTTCTGACAACAACCTGTGTATATTTAATGATGATTCTGCCACATATTTACATCCAGACACTGGTTCGTATTCTGCCCTCGATCTGTCACTCACAGACTCAAACTTGTATAATGAATTTGCATGGTCAGTCCATGATGACCTCTGCGGGAGTGATCATTTTCCCACTATACTTAAAACTGTTAATCCTACTGATGAACCACCATCATGCAGGTGGAACTTTACCAAGGCTAATTGGTCCTTATATGAGGTACTGTGTACTGACAAAATAAGACATGATATTTTCCAGAATATTCCAGATCCGATACAGTTGTTTTCGGATTTACTGAATGACATTGCTGACCAAACCATTCCTAGGTCCTCTGCGAATCCCCATATTCGTAAACCATGGTTTACTAATGACTGCAAACAGGCCAGAAAGTGTAGGAAGAAAGCAGAAAAATATTTTCGCCGACATCCTACAGTCCATAATTTGGATAGGGTTAAAATTACAAATGCCAAGGCACGACGTTCTTTTAAACAAAACAAGCGGCAATCTTGGAGGAACTATGGCTCCAAGATAAATTCCCGTACACCCATGTCAAAGGTGTGGAACATGGTTCAGAAAATAAAAGGCAAAGGCTCAAAATCTTCTGTTCATCATCTTAAGGATGATGACACGTTATTAACGGATAAAGCTGACATTGCAAATAAGCTTGGAGAAACGTTAGCAAAACATTCTTCAACATCAAATTATGTCCCGGAGTTTCAAAAAATAAAGAAACAACAGGAAAAGATCAAAGTAAATTTCACTTCTGATAATGGTGAAGACTATTATGAAGTCTTCTCATTACATGAGCTACACACCGCCCTTGAGCAAGCTCATGACACAGCAACGGGAGCCGACAACATACATTATCAGCTTTTAAAACATTTACCTGAATCCTGTCTGGAGAAACTTTTAGATATATTTGATCAAATATGGATATCTGGGAATTTTCCTCCTTCATGGCATAATGCCATTGTAGTTCCAATACCAAAGCCTGGCCGGGATCATACAGATCCCTCTAACTTTAGACCTATATCCTTAACAAGCTGCGTATGTAAAACCATGGAACGAATGGTGAATAATCGATTAATTTGGTATCTGGAAACCAATAATCTAATTACAAATATCCAATGTGGTTTCCGAAAAAATCGAAGTACTATCGACCATTTAGTACGCTTAGACTCCTTTGTGAAAAATGCTATTGTACACAAACAACATGTAGTGTCAGTCTTTTTCGATCTTGAAAAGGCCTATGATACTACTTGGAAGCACGGCATTCTAAAGGATTTACATGATTTTGGTTTGAGAGGCCGTTTGCCTCATTTTATATCACAGTTTTTAACTGACAGACAATTGCAAGTCCGAGTGGGTTCAACCCTGTCTGACCATTATACTCAGGATCAGGGTGTCCCACAAGGCAGTATTTTGTCTGTAAAATTATTTAGTATCAAGATAAACAGTCTGTCAAAAGTTTTGAATGATTGATTCCGTTGATGGGTCGTTATTTGTGGACGATTTTAACATTTCTTGTCGCGGGAAAAACATGAACACTATTGAGAGACAATTGCAGTTGTGTCTCAATAAAATCCAAAAATGGTCGCTTGCTAACGGCTTTAAATTTTCTAAAACAAAAACTAATTGTATACACTTCTGCAGGAAATATAGACAGCACAAGGACCCAGAACTATTTCTATCTGACACACCCATAAAGGAAGTTCTTGGGGCTTATTTTTGACCGCCACCTGACATTCTTGCCACATATAAAATATCTCAAGGCATTAGACTTATTGAAAGTCGTCTCAAACTCTAAGTGGGGCGGGGATCAGACAACCCTTCTCCATTTATACAGATCTTTGATACGCTCAAAATTAGACTATGGTACCATCATTTATGGTGGAGCCTGTAAAAGTAACTTACAAAAACTGGAGCCTTCAGGACCTCTCCTGTTGACAGTCACTATGTGGAGGCTGATGATCCTTCATTAAAACAACGCCGTTTAAAACTTGCTTTACAATATATCACAAAATTAAAATCAAATCCGTCCAATCCAGCCTATGATTGCATATTTAATCCTCCCTATGAGGACTTATTCCATACAAAACCGAAGCTTGTTCCCCCACTAGGGATTAGAATAAAACCTCATGTAACAGCAGCAAATATTGACCTTGATTTTGTTGCACCGTACTGTTTACTGTCTACACCTCCTTGGCAACTAGTCCATCCCGTTGTAGACCTCACACTTACTAATTTTAAAAAATCAGACAAAAATCAGTTAGTCTTTCAGCAAGAATATATCCAGTTGAGATCAAAGTACGATTCTCACCGCTCCATTTTCACTGAGGGATCCAAGGATGGTGGCAAAGTTGCCAGTGCTACCATCGTTGGATCAAAAACTATTTCTTCCAGATTACCAAACAATTGTTCTATCTTTACTGCTAAGGCCAAGGCTATTCAAACAGCTTAGGAATATATTTAGACACAAAATATCTGCAAAAACTTCATCATCCTCTCTGATTCTTTGTCATGCCTACAGGCATTAAAAAATGTCCGCTCAAATCATCCACTCACTCTTGATAATTTAGAATTACACAATACTCTTTCCACTGGCCAATACGACATCGTCTATTGCTGGTTACCCAGTCATGTTGGAATCACGGGTAACACTATTGCTGATGCTGCAGCAAAAGCAGCTCTCAACAAATCTGTGACCCCACTTCTTATACCATACAGCGACTACAAACCTTTAATTAGATGCTATATCAAAGTCCTTATGCAAAAGAAGTGTGACACCCAAGTAGGTACAAATAAATTACATGCAATAAAACCAACTATCGGTTACACCTACTTGGGTTGTCAGTCCAGATTTGAGGAGGTCATTTTACGACGATGTCGTATTGGCCATAGCAGATACACTAACGAATATTTGTTGAAAGGTGAAGATCCTCCATTGTGTATCCCTTGTGATGAGAGAATCACAGTCAAGCATGTCTTGCTTGACTGTGTTGATTTTTCCATCACAAGGGATAAATATTTCAAATCATCATCTCTCAAGGATTTTTTTTATAATATTAATTCTCATTTAGTTATTGGGTTTTTAAAAGAGATAGAATTGTTTAACAAATGTTGATGATATGTATTGTATAACATGATTGACCTTTTAAAAATTAGTAGAACGAAATTATATCTGAGTTTGTTTCTGGCCATATCCTCAAAGGGGGTTGACGTTGTGTAAAATTATTGTCCCCCTGAGAGGATATTGTAAGTCCATGTCATTCAAAGAATATTTCTGGCTACTCGTGTTTTAAACGTAGAATATTTGTATTTTTACTTGTGGCTAACTTTGCAAACAAAAGCCAGTTGCTGAGGGTATGATGTAAATCCTGCTGGGGTCCATGCAGGTAGCAAAGGTACTGTAAGTCGCCATGGTCCCCAGTATGGTGGTCTGCCTTCAGTTGCTGATGATCTATAGCCCGTTTTTATATTGTGTCGTCTGTTATAATCTGATTATTTTATTGTTCTGAAACTAGTTTTACAATTAGAATCTGTTAAATTTTGCTAGTTGTTATACTGTCCTTCGACGACAGGTCTTAAGATATTATATAAATGCATAACTTGCTCAAGTCACGATATGGCTGAAACAATGCCGATGTGATTTTAAATATTAACTCACTCACTCACTCATTCAAGCTTTGAGGACAACAGAGAGCTTGACTTGGCGCATTCCTGTGTACGACTGTGACGTCATATCTTTTGTGTCACATTGAGCGAGCTTCGAAATCGAATTTGGCGCATTTAATTCTACAGATAACCTAGCTCCACATTGAAAACACATTATGTATATCTTCCATGTCGTATGCTGTATTAGATTGATTTAAAGATAATTTGATAATATACTGCAAAGATAATTTCATTCCTCGTACTTTAAGTGATGGTTAGTCAGCCTCCACATAAAAACTGTTAATGGGAGAAATTCTGAAGGCTCCAAGGTCCTTAATGATGAATAGAATCCAGTATTTTCGATTGCATTTGCATGCACCTCCAAACACGATGGAGCCATAATTAAGTTTTGAACATGTGAGGGCTCTTTTTTGCACTTGTTTAACCTTCGACAGTTTTCCTTGGCGCCAAGATTATCTATTTTATTCATTGTCAAAGTTATGATAAAATGATAAGGGAATGGTGGTAAATTAAATTTTAGATCTCAGATTTGACAGTTGTATAGGGAAGAGTCAGCAGTTGTATTATATATATGGAATAGATTGTCGGATGTTTGTTTCATGTTGTGGAGCTTTCGGGGCCATTTGGTACAGGCGTTGTTATAATAAACATTCTAGATTTGACAGTTGTGTAGAGAAGGACCTTCAAAGCGTCACCAAACTGTAACGATGTATTATTATTGCATACAAAGGCAATAGGTGTCAAGGATTGTCTGTGGCAGTATGTGCAATACATGACATACAATACGCCAAATTATTAAACGTGCACGATATCGGCAATTCTCGCATTGATTTGGAGAGGTGGGAGTTCGGTGGTCTGTCAAAAATTCTTCTAATTAAAATACAGTTGTGACAGAATTCCCCCGCGAGCTAAGAGTATAAATAGTAGGCGTTGATCAAGCTTAACCATATGCTTGAAAAAGAAAGATACGACACACGCAATGGTAAGCATGAATGTTTCACATCTTTGAACAGTGTTGCCTGTAAATATTTCTTCAATGTATTTGCATAATGTAGCCTACGTTTATGTGTTTATTGCTAGCGTTCTGATGTAAAATACATAATATAAATATGTACACATACTTAATAAATTCTTGGTGTTTTGGTCTGTGGGACGTTCTGCGTCCTGGGAATATGGCCCAAATAGGATCGAACTAAACTGAAGACCTTGTCACAATGTGTCTTAATCCTGATTGTTCTTCACTCGTATATTGAGAAAATGCGTTTTCTATCTATTATTAAAAATACTAGTGTAAACTTTACAAAACAATATTTATTGATTATTTTCCTCTAATATTTCCTGGGTCAAATTTTGATCCTTTCTTATTGATAGGAGATATAATTTAAACCCCATGGTTAAATAATCTGGTAATAGTCTTTGCACAATTTCTGATGTTCATCTCCGCAACAATTCTACCTGCTGCGGGTGATCTACCATTTGAATATTTTTAATACTATTTACAACTTTCTGCACAGAAATTTCTTTATCTAACATATCAATAAATTCCATGAGAATACTAATGGCATCATTTTCCGAGAAAACATTTATACTATTTGTTCAAATAAATTCTAAAAAGAACCAAACTATTGCTGGCTAAACAATCGATCTGAAATATCTTCAACTTATAATGATTACTAGATTTCCAGAATTCTGCGGAATTATTCAAGATATCAGCTTGTCTTGCTGTAGCTTTTAATAAACAATCTTTTTGTGTTTAGATTTATTCTTAAAAAATATTTTATGTTACGTAAACAATTCCATCATTCTAAAATTTAGTACGTCGAAATTTCTGTAATAACTTACATTTTGGAATTTTTGGGGCGGTCGGGTAGCTTAGTGATTAAAGTGTTCGATCGTCACGCCGAGTGAGTGAGTGAGGTAATGCTTTACTACACATCGGCAATATTTCAGCCATATCTTGACGAGAAATTAGACATGAAATATACATATATTTAAACTTTATAAAAATCTGTCATCGAAGGACAGTATGAGAACTAGAATATCACAGATAAGATTTTAAAACTAGTTGCGGAACATTTAAAAGAATTAAGTATTAAGGAACAAAACAATATAAAAATGGGCTAGAGATCGTCAGTAACTAAAGGGAGATCACCACACCAGGGACCATGGGGACTTACAGTACCTTTGCTTCCTGCATGGACCCCGGCAGGATTTACACCATCCCTTCAGTCGCTGGCGATTATATGCAAGTTTAGCCATTGAATAAAACTAACAAATATACTACGATTTAAAAGTCTGGTATGCATAAAAATACTACGAATGGTTTGGGACTTACATACCCTCTTAGGGGGACAATAATTTTACGCTACTTCAACCCCCCTCGAGGGTACAGCCACTCACAATCTAAGTTATTTATTAGCACTACCAATTTATAAAATAATACATTAAGCACATCAAAATTTATGGACAAGTTCTATTTCTTTTAAAAAACTTAAGATTAAATGAGAATTAACATCATTAAAAAGGTCCTTAACTGTTTTGACACTGAAATATTTATCCCTTGTGATGGAAAAATCAATACAGTCAAGCAGGACATGCTTGACCGTGATTCTTTCATCACAAGGGATGCAAAACGGAGGATCCTCACCATTTAAAAGATACTCATGTGTATATCTTGAATGGCCAATACGACATCGTCGCATAATGACCTCTTCAAATCTGGACTGACAGCCCAAGTAGGTGTAACCGATATTTGGTTTAATTTCATGTAATTTATTGATACCTACTTGGGCGTCCCACTTCTGTTGCATAAGATCTCGGATGTAAGATCGAATCATGGGTTTAAAATCAGTATATGGGATCAGAAGTGGTGTCACAGATTTGTTGAGGGCTGCTTTTGCAGCAGCATCGGCCATTGTGTTACCAATGATACCAACATGGCTTGGTAACCAACAAAAGACGATGTCATATTGGCCAGTAGCAAGATCATTGAATAATTCGAGAATTTCGATTAAAAGTGGATGTTTTGATGACATATTTTTAATCGCCTGAAGGCATGAAAGAGAATCTGAAAACAGTATGAATTGTTTATGTTTAGCTTTATTACTGATATATTTAAGTGCTGTAAAAATGGCGTTTGCTTCTGCAGTGAAGATGGAACTGTTATCAGGTAAACGTGAAGATATTGTTCTGGATCCAATGACGGTGGCACTAGCAACTGCGCCAGCATCCTTGGACCCATCTGTAAAGATAGATTTATAAGTGTCATAATTGTTTCTTAATTGACTGTATTCTTGTTGGTAAACTAATTCGTTAGTGTCTGATTTCTTTAGTTTTGTTAATGTAAGGTCAACCTCTGGCCGTACCATTTGCCAAGGAGGTGTTGAAAACAGTTGAGTTGGAGCTATATCTTGCAGTTTAATATTGGAAGCAAACAAGGCAGACTGAATTCTGATTCCGAGTGGTGGAACAAGAGATGACTTTTTATTGTAAATATCTTGGTAAAGAGGATTGAAGACGCAATTAAAAGCTGGATTGGACTGATTAGAATATAATTTAGTGACATATTGTAAAGATAATTTTAGACGGCGTTGTTTAAGAGAAGGTTCATCCGCTTCTACATATAGACTGTGAATTGGAGACGTCCTGAAGGCACCAAGGCAAAGCCTAAGGCCCTGATGATGTATCGTATCAAGTTTTTTTAAATTACTTTTACAGGCTCCACCATAGACGATGGAGCCATAATCAAGTTTTGAACGGATGAGTGACCTGTATAAGTGTAAGAGGGTTGTTTGATCCCCTCCCCACTTTGAATTAGAAACAACTTTCAATAGATCGAGTGCCTTCAGGCATTTAGCTTTTAGGTATTTAATATGCGGGAGGAAAGTTAAGTGATGATCAAAAATAAGTCCCAAGAACTTGGCTTCCTTAACAACTTTGATAGGGGTGCCATTCAGAAATAGTTCAGGGTCCTTATGCGGTTTATATTTTCGGCAGAAATGTATGCAATTAGTTTTTGATTTGGAAAATTTAAACCCGTTTTCTAGACACCACTTGTTAATTTTATTAAGACATAATTGTAATTGCCTTTCAATTGTGTGCATATTTTTACCCCGGCAAGATAGATTAAAATCATCCACAAAAAGTGATCCATTGAAAACTGAATCATTTAAAACTTTTGACAAACTGTTAATTTTTATACTGAATAAAGTGACAGACAAAATACTGCCTTGTGGGACACCCTGATCCTGATTATAATGAACAGACAGGGTTGTACCCACTCGGACTTGAAATTGCCTGTCTGTTAAAAACTGGGATATAAAATGAGGCAGACGGCCTCGTAATCCAAAATCATGAAGATCTTTTAAAATACCATGTTTCCATGTTGTATCGTATGCTTTTTCTAAATCGAAAAAGATCGATACAGCATGTTGTCTATTTACAATGGAATTTTTAACGAATGATTCTAAACGCACTAAGTGATCGATAGTACTTCTGTTCTTCCGGAAACCGCATTGTATATTGGTAAGAAGATTATTTGTTTCCAAGTACCACACTAATCGATTATTTACCATGCGTTCCATAGTTTTACAAACGCAGCTAGTGAGAGATATAGGTCGGTAATTTGATGGATCAGAATGATCCCGCCCAGGTTTGGGTATTGGTATAACAATGGCATTATGCCATGAAGGTGGAAACGTCCCAGATGTCCAAATATCATCGAATATATTTAACATAGTTTCAGGCATGATTCGGGCAAGTGTTTCAGCAGCTGATAATGAATATTATCAGCGCCTGCTGCTGTATCATGAGCTTGCCCTAAGGCAGTATATAGCTCATGTAGTGAAAATACCTCATTGTAATCTTCACCATTATCAGATGTAAAATTTACTTTTTTTCTTCTCCTGTTGGAGCTGATATTTTTGAAATTCAGGAGCGTAATTAGTTGAAGAAGAATGATGAGATAAAGTTTCACCAATGCTATTGGTAATGGCAGATTTATCAGTTAACAAAGTATCGCCATCCTTCAGATGGTTAACTGTAGAATTTGATCCCTTGCCTTTGATCTTTTTGATCATGTTCCATACCTTGGACATAGGGGTACGGGAGTTAATTTTGGAGACATAAGTCTGCCAGGATTGACGTTTATTTTGTTTGAATAGACGTCTCGCCTTAGCATTTGAAATTTTGACGATGTTCAAGTTATGGACAGTGGGATGTTTACGGAAGTATTTCTCCGCCTTCTTACGACATTTCCTAGCGTGTTTGCAAGTGTCATCAAACCACGGTTTCACGAACACGTGGGTTGATCGAGGACTTAGGTATTGATTCATCAGCAATTTCATTCAGTAGATCTGAGAACAACTGAATCGGGTCAGTAACATTCTGAAAAGACGTAGGTAGTAATTTATCTTTGCATAAAGATTGAAATAAAAGCCAATCAGCCTTCACAAAATTCCATCGAGGTGAAGGTGGATCATCAGCGGGATTAATTGGTTTAAGCACCGTGGGGAAATGGTCACTCCCACATAGGTCATCATGGACGGACCATGAGAATTCATTCAACAAAACTGAATCCGTCAAAGACAGATCTAATGATGAATACGTACCAGTTGCAGGGTGTAAGTAGGTGTCCGAGTCATCGTTAAAGATGCAGAGGTCATTATCAGAAACAAAATCCTCAATGACTTTACCCTTTTGATTAATGATAGAACCTCCCCATAAAGGATTATGACCATTTAGATCACCCATGATGAGACAGGGCTTTGGGAGCTGGTCGTACAGTTTTTGTAGATCATTACGCTGAAGATTTGAAGATGGAGGAATGTATAAGGAGCAAAGTATGAAGGCAATATGCAGTGTAAGTCTAACTGCAACTGCTTGCAAATTCGTGTCAAGCGGAACAGGACTGTGAACAACGCCCCGCCGCACCAACATAGAAGCACCTCCAGTAGCTTTATCTCCCGGAGGAGAAAAAGAATG